ATTCAAGCGGTTGGATCAAAGAATTTAAAATTTTCTTGTGAATCTGAAAATATGATATTCTTCAACGGTGGTGGGAAGTTGGGGATGATCAACGAGAGAAAGCATAGGAGCATCGTGAGTTGTGTGTGTGTTGTGAACAGTTGAGATGAAAGGAAAGAGAAAGTGGGAAGATACAGTCCTATAATTATGCCTAATATAAATGAACCCTTAATTATATCCCTAATTTGAATTATGGTATAGAAATGGTAATTTGGTATGCTTAAATGTAATAAACACAAACCTTAAACATTTTTGGTAATAAGGTTTGATATATGATATAGATAGGTAAAAATCCCTTAAAAAAAGGAGTAGACACAGAAATATGAAAATATAAAAATCAATACATAATGAAAGACACTTTAAAAGTGAGGGAGTACCGAGTAAGAGTGTTAAATATTTGATAAAATAATATTTTTAGAATATTAAATTTTAAATTGTCGGCACTATAGACTTTCTCTTTAATTTGGTATCAGACTAAATTAATTCGGTTGGTGGGATAAGGGATAAAAATTATATTATGGGATAAAATGCGGAGTTATTTCTCTGATACTAGAATGAAAAATAGTGGGGAATGAAATGAAAGACTATGACACCAGCACGATAATGCAATAAATAGACATTTGAAAAAGACAATACAATGAAAATTCATCTCCTACAGTAACTCAAGGACAACATGGGTTAAGGGAAAGAGATGAATAGAGTAAAAAAAAGTGTAGACACAGAAATATGGAAATATAAAAACCAATACATGATGAAAGACACGTTAGGAGTGAGGGAGTATCGAATAACATTATTAAATATTTTGATAAAGTAATATTTTCAGAATATTGAATTATAAATTGTCAACACTATAAACTTTCTCTTTAATTTTACCGAGTAGGATTTTTAAATACTTTGCTAAAACAATATTTTTATATTGAATTTTAAATTGTCAACACTATAAACTTTCTCTTTAATTTTGTATCAGAGCCAAAATTTTAAAATACGGAGTTATTTTATTTCGCATGTGATTAATTAATTCCGAGAATCATGAGATATCCTTGTCTATCCCGTTTTAGCAACCAAACGACCCCTTAGTATCTAAGTTATAAAAACATAGTAATTTGATTGATATTGAAAAATTCTACTTTTTGAAGTTGAAGCTAAAAAAGTATATTTTGATTGCATTTGAACATGAAAATGAAAGTTAAAGTTTTGTGAGTAAAAACGTTATAAAAAACTCCTAAAATTTGTTTTTAAAACTTCAAATTCTATATTTTAAGTTTGCAATTGAAATTATTGGTCAATTAAGCAAAATTTAAAGTAATTTTCAAATACTATTTGAAATTTTGAAACCAAATTTATAACCAAGAGGTGGTATCAAATTTGAAGGATCGTTGGTATTTTAGCCTCCCTTTTTTTGTTATTCGGAAAGTCGAGTAAGCTCTTATTGTTTTACATTTCGGATATGTGCTTTAACATAACAATGATATTTTTTTTGATTTAGCTAGAGAATGACTCAAACAGACTAGCTACAAAGTCCAATTAAATTAAACTTTAGCTCTGTCTTCTTAAAAGACGATGTTAATCATAAGCTAATTAGTTTTAGTCATTTGGCATGAGTAATGCGCAAAAAGGAAAGAAAATTAAAAAGTGAATACCTATAGTTAGGCAACCTTTTAAAAACTTATCACATTTTTTTCTTCCAAAAGTTAAAAAAGTGGCCAAATTAAGACCAAAAACTCATTTTGTTCATATTCTCAAATACAACCACCAAAGCCAGCCTCGTATTTCCCGCATAATGGTGTGCACCATAGGGTCTGGGCAGAAAAAATCATTTCCACCCAAATTTATACCAAACTAACTAAGGCAATCTTTAGGGTTACTAATTGGAGTGAATTTAAGAATACAATAATAATTTAATTATAATGACTCTTTGAATCAAAAAATAATCAAGAATATCATGGCATATTTTTTTCCTGCTTTGACTGATAAATTCAATCAAAATTGCTATATATATCATCAATTCAAAGGAGAAAAATAAATTTAAATTATGTTGATTTAAAAGAATTTAATTCTTATAAAGTTAATGAAGAAGCTTATTGATTATCAAACCTAGTAGCACTATGTATAAGAGTCGAAAAAGAAGTACCCCTCTATTCATTACGTAACCAGACATAACGGGGCAAATGGACGGTAACACATAATAACAAATAAAAAATTAACCTCATTATCATAAATTAAGTCATTGAATATTCCTAAATGAATATATAATATCATATGATTTGGTGTAAACATCAATCTTTTTTCGAGCACGAAATTAGCAGTCTAAAACAATTTACATAATTAAACAACAGCAATTCTGGTAACTATATTAATCATTTAGTAGTGTGGATCATGACCAATTAAGGCCTACAACCAATTTCAACCCCAGTTCGACTCTGGCACTCTCTACACATTCTTGGCAACTGTCTTACGTTATTATTTCCTTCAACATTTTCATCATTAGTCGGAGCTGCCGCTGTCGCTTGTGTATCATCACCATTCCGTCTATGCTCTCTAACTTGTATTATCTCCGCATCCTTTCCAATCTTCTTTATTTCCTTTACAAGAAACTCCGGACGTACTGTTCCAACCACTACCAATTTCCTCTCCCCTGTTTTTATGCTCACACAATCTATACCTATTAACCCAATAACGATGACAAGTAATTAGCGACTCCAAAAAAAAGGTAAAGGATTTATGTGAATCTACCTATTACTATTACTATGTGAAGAGTCAAATATGATTTTTGTTGATCACGTTTCTTGCAAATCTTTTTAAATACTTTGAACTATTAATTATTGTGACTTATAATACCTTTTTTATGTAATTTTCAAATATATAGTAAATTTTATTTCAAAATTTTAAAAATTCTATGTTCGAATTCATATTGAAAATTAGTCAATTTGACCTTAGTAAAGGTTCACATACACTGAAATGGAAGGAATATACATTGTCAGTTTGAAGATATATTATTAGTGATTTTAATTTTTGATGATATGTTATTTACCATTTTTAAATTCTTATCAAGAGATTTATTTGTAATTACCTAATAAGTAACCCAGCTCGAATTCGTGTTTGAGACTACCACATCTCATTTTATTTACTGAATTTGACATATATTATTTGTAATTTTATTAGATGGTTCTCAAACACAATAAAGAATCTAAATGGCTAGGCAAAAATTATTAGGTTCAGATAAGCTCATTGAACCTTATACATTAGATTTGCCCCTGTCGATTTTATAGACATTTGTTATATCATAGAATTAAATTCAAGAAAAAGGGATAAATAAATTAAAAAGGAAGTAACATATTTAAATATCAAGTAACTACATGGTGAAGTAAATAAAAAAACTATTGCCTTAGTTTTAATATTTCTCTTTTTTCTGCTTTTTTTTGTTGGGGGTGGGGGTGTTTAATTACCTTCACGTCTTGCAATGGCTTGCAGAACGAATTTCTTGCACAGGACACAGTTGAAATTAACTTGCAGAAGAGTGGTTCTAATCATAGCTAGCTGGATGATTACTCCCAAAACCTTCACTTATTTGGTTTCCAATTTATGGATTTTGAGAGAGATTGAAAATTGTGGTATCATTCTTAATTTTCATATTAGTAGACTTGAATGTGTATATATAAATCCCAGAAGTCGTTTTTAAAAACTTTTTGAAGAGAGGACTAGTATTAGCGTGGACTATTTATAAGATATATATGGTCGGCCACTTAAAAAGTTTGTACAACTTTCTAAAATTGTAGAAACATGAAACTAATTAATAATAAGTCAAATTTAAATGCAATAGGCTTTACGAGATTTTGCAATACCGTCCATGAGCATGAACTATGACGACATGCATAGCTAATTAATTAGTAGCACCGTGAAATGGAAATAATTTAATATAGGTTTTACAAAAAATGTATAAATAGAATTTCAAACTTAACATTTTTCGTAATATACGGTTATAAGGTATAACTTGAGCAATTTCTATCACGACTACTATTTTTAATTAGACTAAGACCCACTCAAACATTCGAAGCGTGAGAACCTCAAATTCCGAGACTGAAAGGCTGTGTGTGTTTCTTTGGCTTGGATTAAGTTATTACCAGTATAGGAATGACCTATATACTCCAATGGTCATTTACAAATAAAGTTAGCAAACATAATACGAGTAACTGATCCGAGTAACTATATACTATTTGTTGTTATTTAGGTGGGAACGAGCGGTGACAATTTCGTAACAAACATGAGCTTAAATATTGGGAGCTAAAGATTGGAAAAAGTAGAATAATATATCAAAAACTGAAAAGACAATGTACTGATGTGAACAAAAATGACGAAAATTTCAAACTCAAATGGATTTTGACCTAATCGATGGAAGGTGTGAGAACCACGAATTTTGTACTTTTGTGGAGAGTCTATATCCGATAGGTTACGAATATTTCGGCCTTCTATTGGCTATGCTTGATTATCCGACAATATTCTTCGAAGTCGTTCAAGGCTAGGACCGATCCGAACCATGACCCCGATGTTTACCATGAGCTTAATTTATTCGTATACAGATAGTCCCCTCGTTTCTCAGAGGATAAGTTGACGAGAAACGACATGAGCTCCCCAATTCCTTCTTCGATACGTCGTGTCAGAAACGACAAAAACGCGAAACGCCTCGTCAATCATGTCATAATGGCCTTAAATGCGTGTCAACTGCCAGTTAACCGTTCCTGGACGCGAAACGTCACGGAAACTCTATAAAATACCCTCTCCTTTGTTCATTTTCACTTTCCATCAATTCTACCTTTTGCAAAAAAATTTATCCATCTTCTTCTCAAGCCAACAAGTCTAATCCTTCAACTTCCTTTATTTTTTCATCTTTTCCAGATTTTCCTCCATTTTTACTTTCTAAAGGAATGGCAAAGACTTCCAAAATCGTTCCCCAGAAAGAATCTTCTTCTACTTCGCGGCCGACCACTGAGGTCGAGGAGATCGCTCCGGGCGTGGCTGTTGATGAACCAGTACCCAAACCCCCCTTTGAAAATGTTCATCCCCGGGGGTTCTCGGTCAATGACGATTTCAAGGTTGAGAAGCTTCCTCCATACATGTGCGATGTGAGGAGGTCTCGAGATACATCTGCTCGATTACCGAAGAGGTCCTCCCCACGGTCCGAAAAGACTACAACTAGGCCGATAAAAACATAGTGGTCCTCGACCCAGAGGAGGTCATTACCACCAATGTCGAGGAATATCTGAGTGTTTACACTTATCCCTTTACATTGGGACTAGTGGACCCGGTCATTATAGATTTTTGCAAGAGATACAAGGTATGCCTCAGTCAGATTCATCCTTCACTGTGGAGGATTATGATCCTCCATCGGTTTTTTGTGAACAAAATCGACTTTTACCAGTTTACTATGGATCACTTACTCATGTACAATCCCCAAATATCCCGAGGGGGACTGATAAAGCTTGTGCCGGGCCAATAAAGCCCCATTCTCAAGTATTGATGAGGACCGAGATCGAGGTTGGCAAGGCCGTTTTGTTCGAGTGAGGACTTCATACTTGATTCCGGTTGAATGCAGGCCATTCCCCGAGAAGTGAAATATGTCACGTAAGTAGAACTTTCCTTCGAATGTTGATTTTATGTTTACTTCTCTTTCGTTTATTGGTATTCGTGGTGGTGCATCTGTCGCTCGAGTCCCAAATGCTGTCACTCGACTCAAGGAATGGGTCGAAGGTATCGTTTCATAGATACATTACTCCGAGCGCTTGTGGCGCAATCTCTCGAAGGGCCGTTGGGAGGCCCGTTCCCATGGTAGTATTTCTTTCCCGAGTAGGTTGTGTTAGTCTTCTTCTTTTAACATCGAGTCCTTATTTTCTTTACTTCCTTTTGCAAGCTTGCCTACAGATGTCGAGCTTAGGCCTCCAGTCAGTGGTAAGGACTTGCCTCTTGAGTCTCCTGCTCCGAGGCAGGCCGGAGAGAGGAAAAGGAGGAGGGCTCCGAGCTCCCCAAGCTTAGAGAAAAAGAAATCAAGAAGGAGGCTGGTTCACAAGTCAAAGGAAACCTCCAGCTCCAGACTGCTTGACTCGGAATCACTCCTCCGACTCAGGTACGAGCCTGAGGAGGACGAACATTCAGTGGCCTCAGAGCCATTAGTCCCCGAAGAACAGGCGGTAGTGGAGGAGGAAACGATGAAGGCTAACCCTTCTCAAGTTCATGAGGCTGATGTTGCAGTGAGGGCCGAGAACTCTTGAGATACCGGCTCTGCCCCACCCGGTGTGATAGACATTATATGATCGCCTTCATTCACGGAATCAATGTTCGACGAAGACCTATCGACGAAGGAGCGATCGAACGAGGGCGCCCGCGGAGTGGACGAACCCCTTCGTCACTTATTTGACGGCATACACTCGTCCACCCTGGAGGACTTAACCAGATTAGGTGATTTAGAAGTGTTGAGGAGAAGTCCATCCTAAGAGGTTGGCGGGCCGCACTCGAGCCCGAGGTTGGTCAACCAGTTCCCGGCCCCGAGTACGGATCCGAGCCAGAAGCGGTCAATCGTCCTCATTATCCTGGAGGATGCTCGGATTCTTTTCGCCCCCGTCGGGGTAGCTAGCTACCTCCAGTGCCTAGTAACCGACGAAGATCAGGCTAAGATGAACGGGGTGGATGCCTCATGCCTATTCAACGAAGCACAACAGCCGCTGAATCGGGTAAGGTGTTACCAAACTTTTTATTTTTTTTATGTTTCAACTTTAGTTCTTGATGATCCTAATATCTCTTCTCGTACTTGCAGGCCTCGGTGCTTCACCATGAAACCTTCCTCCGGTGTCGGGATGAGCTGAGCCAACTTGAGGCCGAAGCCAAAGAGCTTGCTGAGAAGAGAGACACATACAAACTTCTTACCGAGCAACGTGAAGGATAGGCTAAGAGCCTTCGAGCTAAGTTGGACGCGGCTCGAAAAGAACACGCCGATCTGGTGCAACAGGTAAAAATCTTTAAAGTTAGTGATGATGAGCTAGACACAGTGACTAATGGTCAGAACCTGCAGGTCCAATAGAAGATTGGCTGGATTTGACCAGCTTCGGACCAAGATGGATGTAAGCAAGGTCGAGGCCGAAGAATGGAAAGGGAAGATGGACTGCTTGGCCTCGGAAAAGGCAACTGCCCGGGCGCAATTGCCCTTGGTGGAGGCTAAACTTCGAGCGATGGGGGAGAAGGCTGATGTCGATCCCAAAAGATTGAGGACCTTCAGTCTCAACTGGTCTCGACTGTTGCCGATCGGGATACCTTGCCAAGGAGTTTAAGGCAGCCAAGTCAGTGGCTGAGATAACTAGGGGCGATGCCAATGAGATGGTGGCCCAGTACAAAGCTGATGCAGAGGCAGCTCAGGATCGCTTGAAAGACATCGTTGAATATGTAAAACGACAGTCCCGAAGAGAGGCCCTTGAGGAGGTTCATACCCGGGGTTTTGATTTATTGGCCGAGATCAAAAATGCAAAGGGGCTTGAGGATGAGTCCAAGAAGTTAGCATATCCCGAGGAAGAAGAAGATTCTAAGGGTTTCAATGGATCCGGGGGCGGAGAAGACCCCGATGGTCTCTATGACGAAGCTGGCTCCGGGAAAGACCAGGCTGCTTAGATGCCTTGTAGGATTTTCTTTGTTTTTGCACCTTTGTACTTTTTTTTGAGGCCATTTAGCCTTTGTAAAGATCTTTATATATATATAAGACTCTTTTTCCCTTCGACAGTTTTCAAGCTTGTTTTCTGTTGCTCTTTTTTTTATGATTGTAAAGATATCGAATGCCTTAGCACGTAATAATTAGGTCTTGTTCGGAGGTTCGAACATGCCTCGTTCTTGACATTATTTTGTTTAAGACTCGTGGGGGGCTCAGTATGACCGGAATCTTTCCCCAAAGTACTTAGAATATTTTATATTACAATTTACCGAGGGTAGCCTTTTGAACTGGTTTAGAGATTTTGAAGGCCTTATGTTTTGGTTATGGGTCTCGGACGTCTCCGAGCCATTCTAGGGTGGTCAGAGCCTCTTTAGTTCGGGTGTTCCCCAATGGTCTTGTTACCCTAAGTCATCCGGGCTTACCCAAGACAACTGTCCCCGAATGGGGATGGCCGCAGCCTTTAAAGTTCGGGCACTGCCAAATAGGCTTTGTGCCCCCAGGCTTCGATATCCCGGGCCGTCCGAGCCTGCCTTGGACGATAGTCCCCAAGTAAGGTGGCCCTTGGATTCGATGTCTTTAGGGGACTAAATATAAAAATAAAAAAAATAAGGGACAAAATACTTATCTGCTACAAGGTTACACATGTATACAAGATTTTTGCCAGGGCTCGGGTAGTCTATGTGGGCATGGTTCATTTGACCATTTGGCCCTTACAATAAATCCTATCGATCGAGCCTAGACTGTTCGAGCTTAAAGTTTCTTTCCTTGCTAAAATCATTATTCGAGGGGTGATGGCCCCCAATATTCGAGGCCAATCATAGAGAAGCCTTGGATACTGTTGATGTGATCCTTGACATTGGTTCATATATGGTATTCGATTCTAAGTTAGCACGATCCGATGTTTCCTCGTTAAAAACCTTGCCAAAAAATCCATTTGGGACAAAATCGGTTCAA